CCTGGTTTAGTCCTGGAGTAGTCCTGGTTTAGTCCTGGAGTAGTCCTGGTTTAGTCCTGGAGTAGTCCTGGTTTAGTCCTGGAGTAATCCCGTGTGTAATCACTACCCGCCCGTAAAATTCAAGAACGTTAAAACCCACCCATTTCAGCAGGACTCTGCACCAGACACCTTAAAATAAAACTAAAATAAGACAAAACTGATCCAAATGTGTCCTGTAGCTGTTATTTATCTCTCAAGTAAATACTGAACAACTTTGTATGAATAAAAGTTCAAACATTATGACACTAACCTTTTTTTTTAAGGTATCTGTTGGTAAAAAACAAAACAAAACAGTATTTAAAATAACAATACTTTACGATTCAGTTTATAATTTTAAGTAAAAGTAAAAGTAGTCCACCAACCAGACAACCAGTTTGTTAATTCTAAAATGAATGAAATCAGACACAAGAGAATAAACGAGTCTGACAAACGTACAATTCTATATTTGATCCGTGGAACATTTTTCTCACAGCTGATTGGTCCCGTATTAAAACACAGATATTGCATTGTTAGTCGTGTGCGTGTAAACACCGTGTACAAGCATAGAGAGCGTTGCAGCATGTAGCAGTGGGCCTCTTTTTTTAACAGTCTGCGCGGTAAATCGTCTTTGTCCATGGAAAAAAAATGACATCGGGAGACGAGTCCGGAGTGCTGGTGGTTGGAAGCTGCGGAAGATTCTGGAAAAAAACGGACCGTAATTCCGATCCACAATCGACAAAAACGTGTAAACCTTTTGAGTCCCATGCGTCATCAGCTCAGTAGGCAATGGTTTTTCATCTTTATTTGTAAAAAAAAATCTCCATTCGTTCTCATCTTGACCACTAGAGGGCGCGACGTTACTCCGCTTTTTTTTTTTTGGGGACTGTCCACTTTTATTCCCGTACGAAGCGAGTGGCAGAGTGGTTAGCTGCGATATTTTCCATGCAACCCTTCCAGTCCGGCCAGTTTCGAATGGATCGTTGAGGCAGAAACGGGCGTCAAAATCTGCTACGCCGCGGTAAAAAAATGAAGTTCGAAATGAAGTTTTTAAGTCATTGTCGGTGGCAGGTTCACATGTTAAAGGGAGTCTCTTTCATGCAGCAAAAAAAACAAACATTATTTGACGATTCATTTCCTTAGATCTGTCTTCGCGTTGACGTTTCCAGTCATTTCCAGTTGTAAAGTCCATTATTATTGACAGTTCTGTTGCTTTTTTTCGTGTTTATGACAGTGAAAACCTACAATTTTACAAATACTGTTGCATTTTTTTCACACCGGATCGTCACACGTTGTCGAACTAGGGCCGGGCATTTCATCCAATTCGTTTAATTCATTGTGTTTTTCATAAATGATTGTGAAATTGAGGAGAAAGTTTACTCCTGACTTTCTAACTTGCAAAGCGGCGATATTGTGCAATTGTGGAAATGATGGGCGTTGTAAAAAATGACATTCTAATTTCAATTATTGTTCAAACAAGATTACACACTGTATGTAATTGAAGGAATTTTACAATGTCATAAATAATAGGATATGAAGAATGTGCCGACTTTAATTAAAATGGATTCAAATCGTAATCCAGGGTGTGAAAAAGAAAAAAAAGAAAAGAAAGTGAAACTGAATCTGTTCATTTGTTTTTCAATATAAAACCAAAAATAAGAAAACGAAAAAATAACTGCTTTCTTCATTATTTGTCTCCAAAACCAAAATGAAAAAACACAGAATGATTTGTTTTTTTCAGTTTTCGATTTTGTGTTTCAATGAATAATGGAAAAAAAACGGATAACAGACGTTTCCCATTTCTGTGACTTAAACTGCAATGTGGGTTTGAACCAGGACTAAACCAAGACTAAACCATTTTCAGTCTTGGTCTGGTCCCAGTCTCAGTCCCGGTCTCAGTCCTGGTCTCAGTTCTGGTCTGGTCCCAGTCTCAGTCCCGGGTCTCTCAGTCTCTGGTCTGGTCCCAGTCTCAGTCCCGGTCTCAGTCCTGGTCTCAGTTCTGGTCTCGGTCCCGGTCTCAGTCCCGGTCTCAATCCTGGTCCTGGTCTGGTCCCGGTCTCAGTCCTGGTCTCCATTCTGGTCTGGTCCCGGTCTCAGTCCCGGTCTGGTCCCAGTCTCAGTCCCGGTCTCAATCACTGCCTGGTCCTGGTCTGGTCCCGGCCTCAGTCCCGGTCTCAGTCCCGGTCTCAGTCTGGTCTCAGTTCTGGTCTGGTCCCAGTCTCAGTCCCGGTCTCAGTCCTGGTCTCAGTTCTGGTCTGGTCCCGGTCTCAGTCCCGGTCTCAGTCCTGGTCTCAGTTCTGGTCTGGTCCTGGTCTCAGTCCTGGCCTCAGTTCTGGTCTGGTCCCGGGCTCAGTCTTGGCCTGGTCCCGGTCTAAGTCCTGGTCTCAGTCCCGGTCCGGTTCCGGTCTGGTCGGACCTGGTTTAGTCTTGGCTCAGTTGTTATCCGTTTTTTCCATTATTCATTGAAACACAAAATCAAAAACTGAAAAAACAAATCATTCTCTGTTTTTTCATTTTGGTTTTGGAGACAAATAATGAAGAAAACAACTACTTTTTCCTTTTCTTATTTTTGGTTTTATATTGAAAAACGAATGATCCACGAATGATCCACGGATTAAATTGCCCGGCCCTTTTTCAAACAATCTTCACTCTTTATATTTATTCAATAACCTTCCTATTTCACTTGTAAAATCAGTGTCTCACAAATTAATGCCCAATTATTTTCCTCTAACCCAGAGGTCTCCAACGTAACTCCAAGTAACTCACCAAGGGATTTCTGAATTATACATATTGTGCTGAATAACTCAAAGTTGATGAATTAACTTTATAAATGTTTAATTTTAATGCCTAACTTTGTGTGTTATAGGTTTGTCTGTTATATGTTCCCCATCTAAGGCTTTCCTATGCTCAGTTTCTTGTTAAAATTCGTAGCTCTTTGACATTTTCTTTTTGTAAACGTAGCTCGCTGAAAGAAAAAGGTTGGAGACCCCTGCTCTAACCACTGTTCTCCACCAGATGGCGCTCTCTCTGCCTTCTCTACGCATCTGTAAACCAGTCACACACCTTCAGTATTTGTCCAATTACCAATTTGTCCAGCTTTGTCAAATTATCTTCACATTTCACTCGTAAAATCAGCGTCTCTTTCCACATTTTGATGAGTTGTTGTCAGTACTGTTCACTCACGTCTCCACCAGAGGGCGCCCTCTCTCTCCCAACTCCTCTGTGTATCTGTGAGCAAATATTTTTCATTTTTGTACTTGTCAAATTACCGTCATATTTCACTTGACTTATTGTAGTAACCTCTTCCCCCATGTCTCCACTAGATGGCGCCCTCTCTCTCCCTCCTTTCTATAAATCTGTGGGCAAACATTTTTCATTTTTATACTTGTCAAATTATCTTCACTTGTAAAATCAGTGTTTCTTTCCACATATTTAAGACTTATTGTTGGTATTTTTTCTCTCATGTCTCCACCAGATGGCGCCCTCTCTCTCCCTCCTTTCTATGTATCTGTGGACAAACATTTTTCATTTTTATACTTGTCGAATTATTGTCATATTTCACCTGTAAAATCAGTGTCTCGTTCCACATTTTGATGAGTTATTGTCAATACTGTTCACTCACGTCTCCACCAGAGGGCGCCCTCTCTCTCCCACCTCCTCTGCGTATCTGTGAGCAAATATTTTTCATTTTTATACTTGTCGAATTATCTTCATATTTCGCTTGTAAAATCAGGGTCTGACTTATTGTAGTAACCTATTTCCTCATGTCTCCACCAGAGGGCGCCCTCTCTCTCCCTCCTTTAAATTTTCTCCTTTCTTTTTTGTATTTGTCAAATTATCTTCATATTTCACTTGTAAAATCAGTGTCTCTTTCCACATTTTGATGAGTTATTGTCAATACTGTTCCCTCCTTTCTCCACCAGAGGGCGCCCTTTTTCTCCCTTCTCTCTATGTATCTGTGAGCAAACATTTTTCATTTTTATACTTGTCGAATTATCTTCACATTTCACTTGTAAAATCAGTGTCTCTTTCCACATTTCGATGAGTTATTGTCACTACTCTTCCCTCAAGTCTCCACCAGAGGGCGCCCTCTCTCCCAACTCCTTTATATTTTTTTTTCTCCTTTCTTTTTTGTATTTGTCGAATTACCTTCATATTTCACTTGTAAAATCAAGTGTCTCTTTCCACGTTTTGATGATTTATTGTCAATACTGTTCCCTCATGTCTCATTTCTAGATGGCGCCCTCTCTCTCCCTCCTTTCAATGAATCTATGAGCAAACATTTTTCATTTTTGTACTTGTCGAATTATCTTCAGATTTCACTTCTAAAATCACGGCCTGACTTATTATAGTAACCTATTTCCTCACGTCTCCACCAGATGGCGCCCTCTCTCTCCCTTCTCTCTATGTATCTGTGAGTAAACATTTTTCATTTTTATACTCGTCAAATTATCTTCATATTTCGCTTGTAAAATCAGTATCTCTTTCCACATTTTGATAAGTTATTAGCAGTATTTTTCTCTCATGTCTCCACCAGAGGGCGCCCTCTCTCTCCCTCCTTTATATTTTCTCCTTTCTTTTTTGTATTTGTCGAATTATCTTCATATTTCACTTGTAAAATCTGTGTCTCTTTCCACATATTTAAGACTTATTGTCGGTATTTTTCTCTCATTTCTCCACCAGAGGGCGCCCATTTCTCTCCCAACTCCTCTATGTATCTGTGAGTAAACATTCCCCAATCTTCATATTTGTCCATTTATCTTCACATTTCTTTTGTAAAATCAGCGTCTTTTCACAAATCGTAGCGTCCTCTCCTCTCGTCTCCACCAGATGGCGCCCTCTCCTCCCTCCTCCTCTATTTATCTGAGTAGACGTTCCCCAATCTTCGTATTTTTCCATTTATCTTCACATTTCATTTGTAAAATCAGTGTCTTTTCACGTCCTCTCCTCTCGTCTCCACCGGGTGGCGCCCTCCCCTCCTCCCTCTATGTGTCCGTGAGCGTGTGCCAGTGACACACCTGCTGCCCCTCGGCCTCCCTCATCTCGGTCCAGTGGCTGAGCTGCTCGTCGCTGGTGCTGTTGAGGCCCAGCGACACCCAGCCCAGCCTCTCGCGGGGCTTCAGGGTGCTCCTCCGGCAGAACACCGACAGCACCAGGGAGACCTCGGACAGCTGGAAGAGGGCCACCTGGAACACGAAGCTCTCCTTGTAGGTGGGGTTGGGCTGGCCTCGGCACACCCCGGTCTTGCACTTGGACATCTCTTTGCCTTTCGAGTCCAGCATGACCAGCTTCACGTAAGTGTCTGTGCAGGAGAGAAACAGTGACGTCAAGTGGTCAGATTTAGAACTGCAGGCTCGGATAAAATAAAGACAATTTGCTCCATCAGATTTTGAATTTTAAAACACGCTTTGAATTTTTTAACTCTGAAAAAATGTTTAAATTATTCTTAGGGATTTAACAACATCCAAATCTCTCGGTACGATATTTTCACGATGCACAACGCACAAAGAACTAAGACTTAAAACTGCTTAAAACTGTTTTTCTTCTTGTAGTCTGCACTGAAATGGAGCAAAGGATCATGGTCTATGTAGTTCCCTCTGTCTTTTTTAGCTATTGCTGCACCATAACTCAATTTAAGCCAAGAGACTTCGATAATAATTCGATATATTGTGATGGTTCATGATATTATTGTGAGAATTTTGACGATACAATATCACGTATTTATTTTTATTCTGAATTTTAGTTGCTGAAATTACACTTACACTTTTTCAATATGTTTCAAATAAAAAAATAATAAATAAAAAATGACCTTTAAATATTCAGCACAGATATTTTCAAGCTCTTGAATTCAACAGTCAAAATTCAGAGAGTAAAATTCGCAGTGAAAATTTTTACAGCAAAGATCCAAAATGCCGAGGCAAAAGCAATCGATCCTTGGCCGTTCTCATCTGTGTTCGGAGTTTAAATAAAAGAGAAATAAAACAGATGAGGTTTTGATTAGAATAATTCTGACCAATCAGATCGCTTCACTTCACCTTTTTTTATTTTTATTTTTTTGTTACTAAATTAGATCGGATCACTTCAGATAGATTGCTTAGACCTTGGCATCTTGGATTGTTCCTGTGAATTCTTTTCACTCTGAATTTTGAAAATATTTGTACTGAATATTTAAAAGTACATTTTTTTATATTGCATTTTAAACACTTAATAAGTATACTTAAAATTCCAGCAACTAAAATTCAGAATAAAAATAATTCAAACATGTTCGTTCAGAGTTGAAAAATTCAAAGTGAAATTCAGCGATATTTAAAATTCAAAATCTGATGGAACAAATTATCTTGCATACACAGTGTAATGTAAAATTTACTTTAAATAAATGGATTTGATTTGAGTGACTTGAAAATTACAAAAAAAAAAAAAAAGTATTACCCTCCGTTTGATTATCTTTCCGAATCGGTTTTCGGAGGAAGTTGCCTAGTGACACGTGACACGCCCTTTTTCCTGGGACAGCGCGACTCGGACCTCGGCGGCGGAAAAAGTCGACCGAGCAAGTGACATGTGACGTGTAAATATGAAGTGTTTTCATTGTGTTTGGACACTTTGGTGGTTTAAATTATAATTTCAGTCTCTCGTATGACTGTAATACCTCACCGTGTCTGTATCACTGCCTGTGGGTTTGGTAGTCGGTGAACTGATGAGGCCAATATTGAACAAATACTTGATTTAACGGGCGTCCCACACGCAAAACATAAAAATACACTTCAAGCTCGGACGTGATGTCAAATCCAAGGTCCAAGTGGGAGTTGGAAGACAATTGAACGCAGGGTGACCCTCAGAATTTTGACTGCTGAATTTGAGGGCTTGAAAATATTTGTACTGAATATTTAAAAGTTGATTTTTAATTTTTTTTATATTGAATTTCAAACCTTTTAGAGTTGAGAAATTCAAAGTGAAATTCAGCGGTATTTAAAATTCAAAATCTGATTGAACAAATTATCTTCCATACACTGTGCAAAGTAAAATTTACTTTAAAAAAATTTACTTGATTTGAGTGACTTGAAAATTACGAAAAAAAAAGTATTACCCTGCGTTCAATTCTCCTTCCGAACAGATTTTTCGAGAAAGTGGTTGGTGGTTTAAATGATAATTTCAGTCACTTTTATCACTGCAGTACCTCACCGCGTTTGTATCACTGCCTGTAGGTTTGATAGTTGGTTTTGTGGTGAGGCCAATATTGAAAAAATAGTTGATTTAACGAGCTTTAACGTCTCTGAGGTTGTAACGAAAGAGAAATCAAGACATATAATAAAGTGCAAACGTCAAAAATTGTATTAACTAAAGTGGCAGCGTTTTCGTAAGATGAGGGAATAGTCATAATCATAATCCACGTAGTTTGACACGTGAAACATAATAATACACTTCAAGCTGGGATGTGACGTCAAATCCCAAGTCCAAGTGGGAGTCGGAAGATAATCAAACGCAGAGTTAATCTAATTGTGCTTGAAACACATTAATATATGACTCAGATCAATGTCAGACGAGCCTGAACACGCCTGAAACAAATCTGAGTCCAAGTCCAATTATTTCTCTCCAACTTATTGCAACAGAAAATTGAAAAAGTCCAGGAGCATTACATTAAAGAGAAGAGTGAAATCTGAACTGCCAAACTAACTCAAGAACCTCATGCATTTCAGAACATGTTTGTAGAAATCTACAGCGTGAGCAGCTAACACGTATAAAAATACTGTTTATGTCCGTACAAATCATATCAGTGTATGAAGTAAAATCACCTGTAAACAGTGTTGGGGAGTAACAGATTACATGTACAGGAGTTACATGATCAGAGTACAAATGATGAGTAACTGTATTCAGTTACAGTTACTGTTTCAATGAGTGGTAATTGGATTACAGTTACTTTGTTGAAATAAATGGAAAAAATAAATAAATTACACGGCAGGATTTTCCCGTTTTCACATTTTGGGCTATTCGGGGTTTTTTTTGTGTTTTGTTTTGTTTGGTAATTCCACTCATTGCCAGACACTAAACCCAGGTCCAACCCAGGTCTAAACCTGGTATAAACCAGGTCTAAAACCAGTTCTAAACCTGGTATAAACCAGGTCTAAAACCAGTTCTAAACTAGGTCTAAACCAGGACTAAAGCAGGACTAAAGCAAGACTAAAACCAGGTCTAAACCAGGACTAAACCAGGACTAAACCCAGGTCCAAATCAGTTCTAAACCTTGTATAAACCAGGTCTAAAACCAGGTCTAAACTAGGTCTAAACCAGGACTAAACCAAGACTAAACCAGGACTAAAACCAGGTCTAAACCAGGACTAAACTAAGGTCCAAACCAGTTCTAAACCTGGTTTAAACCAGGTCTAAAACCAGGTCTAAACTAGGTCTAAACCAGGACTAAACCAGGACTAAACCAGGATTAAATCCAGGTCTAAACCAGGTTCAAACCAGGTCTAAAACCAGGTCTAAACCAGGACTAAACCAGGACTAAATCCAGGACTAAACCAGGACTAAACCAGGAATAAACCAGGACTAAACCAGGAATAAACCAGGACTAAACCAGGATTTAACAGGACTAAATCATGCTGCTTGGACAGTGACTCCTCCTCTTCTTCTATCAATAATATTTTTTATTTGGTTCAGTAAAGTCTGGGCTTTTTATTTTCTTTTAGCAGATAAAACTTCTTATGTTACGATTTCCTCGTCTTTGCTTCTCTACAGCAAATCAAGTAATCCAAAGTATTCAGATTACGTTACTCACTTTAAGTAATTTAATGGATTATGTTACAAACTACATTTTGGTGTGTGTAATCTGTAATTTGTAAGGGAATACATTTTAAAAGTCACCTTCCCAACACTGCCTGCAGCACATGTAACTTCAGCTTTGACTTAAATGCAGGTATTTTTATTGCTCAAAAACACCTTAAAGGTTGTATGGAGGATTTTTTTTGTTTCAAATTGTCAATGATAGCATTATAGAGATGCAGTAGCCTTGTAATTATGATGACCAAAAAAAAGAGAATAAAAATTCATCAACTCTGGACGTGGTGGGGCTAAATGATAACGACACTGCCTCGTTATCTGTGAGCTGACAGGCTGTCAATCAATCTCCCTACGTTTCTAGCGTAACTGACTTGCCTGCGCGCCGCCGGTACATGGTTTGCGTACGCCTGTCACGCAGTCCACAGACGCAAGCCGCACAGACGCTGTTTACTCCACCAACGCAACAGTTCTTAGTGGCTTTTTTTGACCTACATCTTCCTCGCAGTTCGCACAAAGTTTGTTGCAATGGCGACAAGAATCCAGGAGCAGTTCGCCGCAAAAGAAGTCAGTTTTTGAGGTCGCTGAAAGAAGAAGACAAGGGGAACGCAGCGAAGCCAAACTAAGGTGATTCTTGAAGATTCATTCCAGCGATGGCGCGACTGAAGCAGACGCAGGGTCTAAAGACTGACGCACTGGTCCACAAATTACTCCTGGACAGGAAACTTCTGCTTATTATGAAAACACTTTATTTCCAAGAGCAGACAAACGTTTTTCAGGACACGAAAGCGATATCCTATGTCTGAAAACACAAGGCAAAGAAAGAGTCCGCTTGCTGCTGCGTGTTGTAGCTAGTTCATTCGCACGGAATCTCCGAGCCTTCTCTGCTCCCCTTTCCTGCTCCTCTCCCCACTGCCCGAAACAATCACTCTCGTCCGCGAACGAAATCTCCCCCCGCTCCTCACTTCTCCGAACAACACTGTAGTTAGTTGTTTACAAGTCATGTGCAGCTCACCGGCTGTAAACAAACCTGTTTCTGGCGTAAGAGGAGGAGGGAGGAGGCGTTTCTACGTAGGAGCTGTAGGGGAGGGGGGGTGGTTTCACGCATGCGCAACATTTGAAAAAGGACAAACAGTCGCTGGATTTCTCGTTCCTTGGAAAATCCTCTATACAACCTTTAAAATGCTTTCTCTGGAAATAGATTTGTTTAATGCCGTGCTGTAGATAATTCCTTACGGCCTTACCTCTCATGATATACAGCTGTCCACCCACAAAATGTTTGACACAACAAAACAGACCGTCTGCAACACAACAAAACACACGCACGCAAACACAAACACACAAACACACACAGAGGAGAAGAGGAGAGAGGTTTAGAGGTGACAACTCAACGCAAACAAATCAAATATAGAAACAGCTTGGAAAATTGTCACTTGCAATTGTTTCTGAACACGTAAAAACAATTGCGAGTCCGAACGGGGCCAGACACAGAAGGTGAGGTTATAAAAAGTGAGCGGTACCAGGTTGGGTGAGTAACTAACAACAAGTAAAACTCCAAATGTTTTCAGTTGTTATAAATCCGTGTATCATTCGTTCATTCGTTTTCAATATAAAACCAAAAATAACAAAATGAAAAAAAATATATTTGTCTCCAAAACCAAAATGAAAAAAACAAAACAAAATAGATAATGATTTGTTTTTTCAGTTTTTGATTTTGTGTTTAAATGAAGAATGGAAAAAACGGATAACGGCCGTTTCTCGTTTTCGTGACTTAAACTGCGATGTCGGACTTTTGCGCCGCATACGGACTGAACCAGGACTGAACCAGGACTAAGACAGGTCGGGGACCAGACCAGAATCAGACCGGGACTGAAACCGGGACCTGACCAGGCCCAGACCATGATTGAGACTGTGACTGAGGCCCGAGACTAAGACTGGAACCAGACTGTGACTGAGACCGGGACCAGACCAAGACCAGACCGGGAACAGACCGGGAACAGACCGATACCAGACCAGGACCAGACCGGGACCAGACCAGGAACAGACCGGGACTGAGACTAGGACTTAGACTGGGACCAGACCAGAACTGAGACCGAGACTAAGACCGGGATCAGACCGGGACTGAGACTGGGACTGAGACCGGGACTGAGACCGGGACCAGACCAGGACTGAGACCGGGAACAGACCAGGACTGACACCAGGACCAGACCTGGACCAGACCAGGATCCGACCGGGACTGAGACCAGGACTGAAACCGGGACCAGACCAGAACTGAGACCAGGACTGAGACCGGGACCAGACCATGATTGAGACTGGGACTGAGACCGGGACTAAGACTGGGACCAGACCGGGACTGAGACCGGGAACAGACCTGGGACTGAGACTGGGACCAGACCAGGAACAGCCTGGGACTGAGACCAGGACCAAACCAGAACAGACCAGGAACAGATTGGGACCAGACCGGGATCAGACCGGGACTGAGACCAGGACTGAGACCAGGACTGAGACTGGGACCAGACCAGGACTAAAAAAGGTTTAGTCCTGTTTTAGTCCTGATTCAGTCCTGGTTCAGTCCGTATGCGGCGCTAAAGTCCGGCATCGCAGTTTAAGTCACGAAAACTGGAAATATCTTTTCTTTTTTTTTCCATTATTCATTTAAAAACAAAATCCAAAACTGAAGTCATTTTGGTTTTGGAGACAAATAATGAAGAAAATAGTTGTTTTTTTGGTTTTCTTATTTTTTGGTTTTATATTGAAAAACAAATGAACGAATGATACACAGATTGTTATAGACCCTTTAAACGTAAAAAGACATTAGAAACACAGGCACATGCGCAATGTACTCAGGCCTTACAGACAGAAAATACTTTTATTGTCTTAAAGGTTGTATAGAGGATTTTTTTAAGGGAAGAGAAATACAGCGACAGTCCTTGTGCGCGTTCAGAATTACTGTTGAAGTTTCCTGTCTAGAAGTAATTCAGCGACCGACGCGTCAGTTTTTAGACCTTCGTCTGCTTCGGTCGCGCCATCGCTGGACGAGATCTCCAAGAATCACCTCAGTTTGGCTTTGCTCCTTTTCCTCTTCTCTTCTTCTTTCAGCGACCTCAAAAACCGACTTTCTTTTGCGGCGAACCGGTCGTGGATTCTCGTCCGCCGATGCAACAAACTTTGTGCGAATTGCGAGGAAGCGACAGTTCGAAAAAGCCTCTAAGAACCGCTGCATAAACCACGTAATCCCCGCGCTCCGACGAGTCAGTTACACTAGGGAGTTTGATTGACAACCTAACAGCCAATAGAAAATGAGGGAGCCTCGTTTTCTATTGGCTGATGTTTATCTGGCCTCAACACGTCCACAGTTTATAGATTTTCGTTCTTTTTTTTTTTGGTCATCATAATTACAAAGCTGCTGCGTCTCTGTAATGGTATTTTAATCTTTGACTGACAGTTTGAAACAAAAAAAAAATCCTCCATACAACCTTTAATGAGGACGAGCTTTATTTTATATTTCTATTGCATATGTTTTATTTGTTTATATTTCTTTTGTTTATGAAATAAGTGGATTGGATTTTAGGGATTAAAAAAAGTTACAAGTTGCATTTTAAAGGGTCCATATCATTCTGAACAAAAACTGCCCCACCCTGTACCACCCACGTCACACACAGAGACAGTCCAGATGTGAGTCCTGACCCATGGGCTTGTCTGTGGCCGAGGTCTTGAAGTGGCTGCCCTGGATCACCTCTGCAGACAGACGTCCGGTGGTGGAGTTGTACAGGAGGCCCAGGAGGATCTCGGGCAGACACGTGTCCTCTGTGGAGCGATACGACAGAGCTCCACCACTGCGGGACACGCTCACCACCGAACCACAGCCCTGAGGGAGCACAGAGGAGAGGGGACAGAGGAGGGACACGGGGGGGACATAAGTTATAGGAGAGATAAAATAAACCGGGTGTCCAAAAACATCTGACATCATTTCTCAGGCAAATAATTTCGGCAATTTTTGTTGAAATAACCTCAAATTTTCACAGAATGTATAGAAACAGATCAAGATTTAATTTACTGTTATACGTTTGTTCCGTTTTCAGGTTGAACCATGTCGTTCATTCCCAAAGAGAAGTCATTTTGCGTCTTGGAATCTGCTCGCACAAACTCACTCAAGACTGTGCAAGGTGAATTCAAAGCAAAATTTGGAAAAACTTCAACCAACTGGCAAACAAATTTGGACTTGGTTCCAAAAATTTGAAAGAGGAAGGATCTTATGCAGGGCTAAAAGGATCAGATAGAGCACGGATGTTAAACTCAAATTCACAGAGGCCAAAATTAAAAACTGGGACTAAGTTGTGGGTCAAACTAAATATTTATTATAAAAATTTCAACAACATCTGCAGGTTTATCTCTTCTTTAATGAGACGTGGGACAGTGTTACAACCTATACATTAACTCATTAAGGAATAAATGCTTTTGTACAGTTTATAGCTTAAACATTGAATCCCTGGGCAGGTTCATAATATAAAATGATAACAAAATTTTAAATAAATAATGTCTCTATAGTTGATCTGTAGCTGGTGAGCAGCTCTAATCCATACTTGATATGATCTCGCGGGCCAAATATAATTATATCACAGGCCAAATTTTCAGTCCCATAATAAACTTAGGATGTCCAACACCTGAACTTGTTCAGTTTCAATTAGTGGACTTTAGTAGTTTTTAAGATAATTGCTTTTAAAATTATGTCAAATTTTTTGGGACACCTTTTATATTACCATTAAGCACTTAGTCTGACTCTAAGAGAATATTTCCTTACAATTTCTCTTTTCTTTTTAGTTTAAGTCTTACAATAGCTTGCTTGTTTTATTTTTGCTTTAGTTAAAACAAACAAAAAACAAAACAAAAAACATAAAAATACAGTAGTAAATTTTTTTTTTTTTTTTTTGTGCTCTAAAATGTATCTTGTCCAAAAAGCTCAAATTCTATGACAGTGGAAATTGCAATTCGCTTAAAAATTTCACAGACAGAACAAGTGTGGCTGAAATTTCTAATGGTCAGTGATCAGCTCGGGTGTTTTTAATGCAGAGATCCACAACCAATCGTCTGTCAGGAAAAATGAGTGGTTTTTCAACAGACACAAGCCTTTGGAGGAAGAATTAGACTTTTTGTTTTAAATGGCAATTATTTAAAGTCTTATTTATATTCAGGAAATAACGGAGAGCTTTGTATTTGTTTATAGTAGGACAAAATAAAAATGAACTGACTGACTTTTAAACGGAGAGTAAATTTGCGAATGTGCCCGTTGATGCACTGAGGTTTGAATGAACGGTGTGTGCTGTATGAACATGTTTTTATTTATGGTTTGTGCACGACCAGAGATCAATAAAATACATGATTAATTCTGGGAACAACTGTCCTGAGCTTAAATGAACTGTTCACGTGAGACTGACCGTGGCCTCGGACCCGGGCTCCAGCGTGACGGGCAGAGCCATCTTGCCCTGCAGGTTGAGCTTGGTCAGATGGAAGACCTTCTCGCCCAGAACCTTCTCCTTCTTCATCCTCCTGATGCTGTAGAGCCTGAACCTGACGGCGTAGTCCCCCAGCGCGTCCTGCTCCACCCGCGAGAACTTAAACGTCTCCGTGAAGACCGGGCAGGGACCCTTCTGCACCCCCGTCTTGGCGCGCTGCTTTTTGGTGGGCAGCAGGACCAGATGAACCTGTCACAAGGATTCAACTTTTACAATATGTTGGGTTCAGAAAACATTAAAAAATTCTTGATTATAGTTTAAAATGCTAAATAAAGAACTGAGCTGGTCAACAATTGGGCTGATTTGTGCTGCTAAACAAGTCTCTCTCATGTAATTTTACAGTCACAAACTAGTTACTCACTTTCACTTTTTAGCTCAAAACCAAACACCAAAACAGGACAATTAAAGGGACAGTCTGGAAATGTGGACATAGGACCTCATTTCCTAAAACTAACAAACTTAAACTTAGACTTAGAAATAAACAAACTCAAATATTCACCTTTAGGCACCATGGGTATGTGGTTTTCGCTGTACAACAAACTCAACGTCCAGATCCAGAGCTGCATTTTCCAAGATTTATTCCAAGTTTTGCAGGCAAACAATAAGGATACATGTTCAGGCCTACGCTTTCTGCCTCTCCTGCCAATCAATACAAATGTTAAAGGGACCGTCTGAAATTTTGGACATAGGGCCTCATTTCCTAGTGAGCCAGAGTGTTGGAGACGTGTGGAGACACTTTTTAAAATATTCCATCCAGTCCTTGTATTTGCAGAGGTCGCTGGTGCTAGGCTAGTGCATGTCAATGGCCATAGTTAGCCTGCCACTAAAAACAGCATTACCCACTCCACAAAACACCCGAAACAAATCTATTATTACACCAGACTGTCCATGTAAATGTCTGTGTTGATAGAATATTGTTTGAAATAAAACTAACCTTGCATCGCATGGATCGTCACATGTTGAGGGACTATTTTCTCATATATCAGTCCGCCACTGTCAAACTTTCTATCAGGAAGTACAACTCACTGCTGCTGCTCAGACATAAATCCTTCAAAATGCAAGGTTGGATTTACTTCTGAAATTATTCTATCAACACAGACATTTACATCGACAGTCTTGTGTAATAATATATTAGTATAATAGTATATTTGTGTACAAATATACAAATGTACATATATATCTTTAATATATTTTTTTAAATAAATCTATCTCCATTTGATCTGGTTAATGTTTACGCTTAAAAGTCCAAATATGCTCAAGTCCGAGATGAGACCAAGACTGAAAAAAGCGGTGTCGAGGCCGATCTCGAGACAAAGACCAATCGAGTACTACAACACTAGTTTTTACCAGTCGGCAGGAGAGGCAGAGGCTTATTGTTTACCTGCAAAACTTGGAATAAATCTTGGAAAATGCAGCTTTGGATCTGGACACACACAGTTTGTTTTACTTTACTGCCTAAAGGTGATTATTTGAGTTATGTTTAGTTATAAGTTTGCTCACTAGGTATGTAACAATATCCAAATCTATTATCACGATATCCAAATCTCACGGCTAATATAATTGTAGATGGGAAACTTTTTTTTGCTTTTAAAATACCTTGACAAGATATCCGTGATAATCCCAAGAATTCAAGTAAAAAACATATTTCTTCACGTTGTCTGCACTGAAATGAATCATGGGACATGTAGTTCCTGATGTTTATAAACTGTTGTTAGTGTAAAACCATGCATTTAAAGGTTGTATAGAGGATTTTTTTAAGGGAAGAGAAATACAGCAACAGTCCTTGTGCGCATTCAGAATTACTGTTGAAGTTTCCTGTCTAGAAGTAATTCAGCGACCGACGCGTCAGTTTTTTTGTTTTTTTTTTCTCGTCCGCCGTCGCGACAAACTTTGTGCGAAATGCGAGGAAGCGACAGTTCGAAAAAGCCTCTAAGAACCGCTGCGTAAACCACGTAATCCCCGCGCTCCGACGAGTCAGTTACACTAGGGAGTTTGATTGACAACCTAACAGCCAATAGAAAATGAGGGAGCCTCGTTTTCTATTGGCTGATGTTTATCTGGCCTCAACACGTCCACAGTTGATAGATTTTCGTTCTTTTTTTTTTTTAGGTCATCATAATTACAAAGCTGCTGCGTCTCTGTAATGGTATTTTAATCTTTCACTGACAGTTTGAAGCAAAAAAAAAATCCTCCATACAACCTTTAAGCGAAGGAACATGTGATTGTCGATATATTGTGACAGCCCACGATATTATTATGAGACTTTTGACGATACGATATCTCGATATTTCGGTTATTGTCACATCTCTATTGCTCGCAGCTTTTGTTTGTTAGTTTTCGTTACGCATAAGAAGTTCATCCCAACACATTACCTGCCAGGCGATGTTCCCGGTTTGCTTTAGGGCGGGGATGTCCGTTGCCGCGGTGACGGTGACGGCCAACCACTGCTCGCCGGAGTCGTACTCGAAGGCGACGTCCAGAGTGCCGTACTTGGCCATGGGCTCGGGCTCGTAGGCGGCGGGCAGGGGGGGCACAGAGCCGTCCTGGAACGACAAGAGCGGGACGGTGATCTGATTTCTGGAGTTATCAGATTATCCAAATGTCATGTAAACAGGGACATCTGATGAGAGTAATCTGATTTGTTTCTGATTGTTCACTGTGCAGGTTTTGGCAAGAATCTCTTCATGCAAAAAACAGGGTCTTGTTAAAGATTGAAAGAGTTAAAAAAGTGAGTTTCAAATCCATTGTGCTTTGTCGTCCAAACACAACAGTTTCTCTAAAATCCAATGAGTCACAATCCGTGTGTCATTCGTTCATTCGTGTTTTTCAAGATTAAACTAAAAATAAGAAAACGAAAAAACAACAAATTTCTTCAGTATTTGTCTCCAAAACCAAAATGAAAAACGGATAATGAGTTTTTGATTTTGTGTTTTAAATGAAAAATGGAAAAAAACAGGACTAAACAAGGACTAAACCAGGACTGAACCAGGTCTAAACAGGACTGAACCAGGACTGAATCAGGACTAAACCAGGACTAAACCAGGACTGAAACAGGTCTAAACCAGGACTGAACCAGGACTGAACCAGGACTAAACCAGGTCTAAACAGGACTGAACCAGGACTAAACCAGGACTAAAACTAAACAGGACTGAAACAGGTCTAAACCAGGACTGAACCAGGACTGAACCAGGTCTAAACAGGACTGAACCAGGACTGAATCAGGACTAAACCAGGACTAAACAGGACTGAACCAGGACTAACAGGACTGAAACCAGGACTGAACAGGACTAAACCAGGACTAAACCGGACTGAAACAGGACTAAACCAGGACTAAACCAGGACTGAACAGGACTAAACCAGGACTAAACCAAGACTGAGTGTAGGGACGGCCCAGAGGTGCGCCCGCATAGACTGTCAGGTGATCAGGACTGAGACCGGGATCAGACCAGGATCAGACCAGGACCAGACCAGGGTTGAGACCGGGACCAGACTGGGACTGAGACCAAGACTAAGACTGGAACCAGACCAGGACTGAGACCGGGACTGAGACTGGGACCAGACCGGAACCTGGCCGGGACTGAGATCGGGACTGAGACCGGGACCAGACCAGGACTAGACCAGGACCAGACCGGGACTAAGACCAGGACTGAGACCGGGACCAGAACAGAACTGAGACCGGGACTGAGACCGGGACTGAGACTGGGACTGAGACCAGGACCAGACCAGGACTAGACCAGGATCAGACCGGGACTGAGACCAGGACTGAGACCAGTTTAGTCCTGGTTTAGTCCTGGTTTTAATCCTGATTCAGTCCTGGCTCAGTTCGTATGTGGCGCAAAAGTCCAGTTTCTCAGTTTTTAGTCACGGAAATGGTCATTGTCCATTTTTTCCATTTTTCATTTAAACACAAAATCGAAAAATGCACAATAGTTTCCTTTCATTTTGAAGTAAAAAACTGACAAATTATGCAAAATCCTGCACCTTCTACTTGTTTGCACAATTTTCCCTCCGTTACTTTTCCCTCCGTTACCATGACCTTTCTTAATAAAAAATCTCATTACTCAAATGTAAGAGGTTTTTCAACCTAATCTTGTACCATATGGTAGAAAACTATATGAAGCAAATATTCAAACCAGTTTGTTAAGGATATGTAAGTGAGAACCAAGAGTTATCACTGTTTGTATTTATTGCCCAAAAAGGGCTGCATATTTCATTCCCTCCATTACAGACATGAGTTTTTTTTATTTTTTGTCAACAACTTGAAAGAATATCACAGGTTTAACTTTACCTTCCTACATTCTGATACTTTACTTATTTCAATAGTCCCTCTAGTTTCTGAATAAGAGACATTTGAATGTAAAAAATCTGACCCTGTTTCCCTCCGTTACCACTTGACCGGACCCAATACTAAAAAGAAATCCTCCCTCTCCTGTTCTCTCATCACCTGTCACTCCATCAGCACCAGTACTTATACCTGACATGATCTGACACTGAAACAGACCCTGTAACTTTAGCTGTGTTTTTACAGTAAACTTCTGTCAGCTGAGCTCAACCTGCACAACTCATTCATTAGTAAAACTGGGTCAGTGTCATTTACCACATATCTGAAGGATTATGCTATCATTTAGCTCAATTCTAGATTAAAAAGGTACTAAATACTAAAACTTTTGCTACTAAACTATGCTCGTGTTGTATTAACAGCACTGTCTGCTGTTCCAAGTCATCTTTAGGCAGATTTAAAGTAATTCTTAGGGATGTAATACAGTGGCGGACTGTGCATCTCACACCTAGGCCTTCAGTAGTGCTCTGTTTAAAAAAATCCACTCAATAAATATTTTATGGTTATAAAAGTCATCTTATTATGTAGAAATACAGTATAAAGAGCCGTTGCATCACAGATAGAAAATTCTTGTAGTCACAATCAGAGGTGTTGTGGGCGTGGTACGCAGAGTACGCCGTCCACCCACTTCTCCCGACGTGAGATATAAAAAAATAACAAATATAAAATAGCTACAACTTAAATGTCAAACTGGAGCTACTGGCAATGATGAAAACAACCTGCATAGGCTCATGATATCTGCAGTACTGTCCACCCCTCACAGAGCGAAGCGCAGCCGTCTCCTGATCGCACTTTGCGGACACTCTGTTCTACGGGCTTGGGGTTCTCTCTCTCTCTCAATCCAGGATTGGTCCAGGTTTGGTCCTGGTTGTGTCCTGGTTTAGTCCTGCTTTGGTCCTTTTGGTTCAGTCACGAATCACGTACCCCACTTAAAAAATCCCCACTACACCACTGGTAATTAATAATAGTAATACATAATAATAATAATAATTTCAATTTGCGTAGCTGCTACAGATGCAGTTTGCTGCTTTGGCTGGTCCGTTCTCTGACTGTCCAATCAATGCGTCTGAATACAGTGATGTTGTCGTACGCCTGCTAGAAGTGACACCAACTCAAAATCTGATTGGTTGAGGCAACAGTTTCATCAACATTTATTTTGTGTTCGAGGCCTGCAGAATCGATTGTGAAGGCCTCAGGCAGATTTCTTTGACTTTGATTCTGCCTGGCACAAAATTATGGCTGAAATGTGATCGGTCAAATGCTTTAATATGAAAATACATGTCTGGAAGCAGCACAAGCATCGGAAAAGCTCTGAAAGGAAGCGGGCAGACCATTTGGAATTATTCCATCAGTCGATCATCGACCTCCGGCCTAGGGTGTCCTGGTGCCACGTGCACTTATGGACACCCTTGTGCTCGAACATGGTGTTCGTTATGGACAAACTAGCACAGAAGTCCAATAACAAAACACCGCTCGGGTTCAGATCAGGGAGGTTGTGTCACTGTCGTTGCCACGTGGGCGTTGAAGTCCCCCAGGAGAACAACGGAGTCCCTGGTCGGATGCACTGTCTAGTACCCCTCCAAGGACTCCAAGAAGGCCGGGTACTCTGCACTGCTGTTCGGCCCGTAGGCCGACATCACAGTGAGAGACCTGTCCCCGACCCGAAGGCGCAAGGACGCGACCCTCTCGTTCACCGGGGTGAACTCCAACACACAGCGGCTGAGCTGTGGGGCAATGAGCAGGCCCACACCAGCCCGCCGCCGCTCCCCGCGGCCAACGCCAGAGAAATGGAGAGTCCAGCCCCTCTCAAGGAGTTGGGTTCCAGAGCCCAAACTGTGCGTGTAGTTGAGGCCGACTAGTCGGTAACGCTCAACCTCCCGCACAAGCTCAGGCTCCTTCCCCCCAGCGAGGTGACATTCCATGTCCCCAGAGCTAGTCTCCATGTCCGGAGATTTGGTCGCCGAGGCCCCCGCCGTCGACTGCTGCCCAGATCCCTCTGCACCGGCCCCATATGAATATTTCCCAGCATGCAACATGGGCTTTTAATAACAATGACGTCAGCTAAAACTCGCCTATACTTCATGGATGCTGAGACACCTGCATGCCAATGGTTAAATTTGTCCACTAGAGGTCAGTGTTTCTCCGAGGCCTCAGACATGCCGAACCATTTGAGACAATATTGCGACTGAGGTGTCAATGCTTCACAAGGCTCCATTCGCCCATCAATATCAAAAACCCAACACAGGGAGAACATGCAAACCGCTGGATGTTGGATGTACGACCCTCCCCTTCCTTCTCACCTCTTGCCCCAGGACGGCGGTGCTGTCACTGGGTATGTCCTCGTCACAGCCCTTGTTGAGGTAGCTCTCTGTGTCCGGCTCCTCCTCCTCCTCCTCCTCTTCCTCGCTGGCCTGGCTGGAGCCGTGCTGGGCGTGTGAGACTCTCCTGCGCCCCCTGTTGGAGCGCGAGGACGTGGAGGAGGTCTTTCTCTGCTCCGGGTACGGCGGGGGCTGCAGCTCGTTCAGGGAGGCGTCCTTGTGGATTCTCTGGATGGTGGCTGCTCGCGAGATGGGACAGAAACACGAGGAGACGGACAGGTGAGACGGACAGTGTCGGGTTACAGTGGACACACGACGCTGATTACACGTGTTATCAATCTGTCTTCACTCTAAACAACTAATTGACCCTTAAAAGTAGCCATTCTTCTTGTCAGACAGGAGAGTTTGTGTACCTGCTTTACTTGTTTCGCTAGTTCCTTTAAAATTCCTCAAAACTGCAAAGTGAATGTGGAGTTATGTGTTTTGTAAGATGCTTTAATTGGTTTTGGCAGATTTGATTCACAAAAACTCAGTCATAGTTTGAATAGGTTTAAATTGAACTCGGCTGAATAGTTTTAGTCTGATCATAAATATTCACGCTCTACTCACGCTTACGTCACAAACCAGGAAGACGTTTGGTAAGATGCAATTACAACTTCCGGCGTGTTCTGTCTAGGAAAAATGAGAAAATGTCCCAGGTTTCTTCATCTAAATGTCATTGTAGCGTTTTGTTATGTTGGGCAATATCATTCAAGATGATTCCAAACAGCACATACGTATGCAGTCTTCATTTTACCGCTGATAACATGGGTTTTTCAGTGTCGGGAACTACACTGGAAGTTTCCAAGCGTCTTCCTGGTTTGTGACGTAAGCGTGAATACGTAGAGTCTATAAGCGGATGTAGCAAGTCTCACAACAACAGCATAAATGGTCACAATATTTTTAGTTAGCCTCTGGAAAAAAATTGTTTTGTTCCAGCAGCTTAGTGAAAATGAAGGAACTACAAATACCATTACCCTTTACTATTTTAGGTCAGCCAACTAACAAAAGTACTATTATTTATGTGCTTTAATCTAATTCTTTTGAAGTGAAAGCCATTTCCCTAAACCGAATTCAGTAGCCTAGAATAGTGTCTTACCCAAGCCCCAGGGTTTCAAACTGGGCGTCCATTCAAGGCAATGGGCCGAGCTCAATGGCGCATGTTTCCAGATTCGCCTTTAGCCTGGTGAGATACTTCCGCTGGCTGTGGGCCAATTGAGCATGTGCAGTAGTGCTCTTTTCTCTCGTGGGTACACGCGAATGCACGTGAGCGCATGCACGGAGCGCAGTCTTGTGTATCACGTGATCGCTTTGACCAATCAGAGCGAGTGGACGCAGAGCGGAGCCAGAGCGAACGATTATAAAGTGTTTTTTAAGACAACTGAAGGATTTTGAGCTGAGAAAATGTTTATGATCTAAAAAAAGGTAAAAATCACCACAAAATCCAACATTTTTTAAAGTTGTAGGTGCCCTGTCAGACGAACACGAGCAGTTTGTGATTACATTGTGCTCTAGACCAGGGGATTTTTTCACTGTAGTACCAGTAAGTGGCCACTACTTACCTATCCACTTATTTTAATAGATCCATGGTCTTACCCCGCTCGCTGGACGCCTCGCTGCTGTAGCCCTCCTGCTCCTCTTTTGTCCCCCAGGCTGACGCCCTCTGCTGGGCCATGGGCTCTGGGGTCCTCTCCTCACCCTCCTCACCCTCGCTGTCCGACGCTGCCCCCTCTGGATGAAACACACAAATGCAGGTCAGTGTACAGAATTTTACAATATTTACAGTCAATACCTGGACACTGCACACTGGGGACAGAAAAGAAGAAGTTAGAAAAAGAAAATGTATTATTGTTGCTGTTTTATTTTTCATTGTCCTTCTGGAGACTGTGGCCAATGTGGTGGAGCGTCTGGCCCAGGGACATAAGAGTTGTACACACTCGAATCACCACTGTCTTGTCCAGACAAGAAGTACAGTGTCAAAGTCAAATCTTTCTGTGCATTTTCAGTCCAGCAGGGGTTGTGAAAGGCTGAAAATTCATAGGTGTTGCATTTGTACTGTGAGCGAACTCTACATCTTATCTTATCTGTAACTTGTCCTGGTGGTGTCACCGTGGAGATAAATAAGTTTACTATGTAATATTACAGGCAAAGCAATAACATATTCATGGAAACAAGTGCAGCACAATGGAAATGTCCAATCAACTCAACATTTATACTATATTCAAAATAAGGCTGAGCAGTTAATTGAATTTTGATTGCGATTTTGATGAAATGCTCTTGAATTAGCATTTAAACGTGATTTTTCATTTTCTTGCCTCTAAAATTAAGCTTGCGGAATGAGCTGAGTTTATAATTGCGATGTCAATTACTACCATATTTAAAAGGCCCAATTAACTGAATTTTGATAAAGATTTCAACTTGTGTGTCAAACAATCTTCAAACTCATAATCGAGTTGAAACGATTTATAAAGCTTAGCAACCTTTATTTTGGGATATTTTTCATATAAATAAGTATATTTATCTTATTTTCTAAATATAGAGATTGTTGAACAGCTGGATATATGGTTTATTTTGGATACATTTATGTTTTTCTATGCCTTATATTTTATTAATAACGCAAAACTGCTCTAAGGTTCATATTTGTAGCCTATATTTATTTTCAGTTTGAAAGTTTTGCGTAAATTATCAATAACAAAGAGAGAGAGAAATGCTGAATAAATGCATCGTGTAACTAAAAAATAACAAGTTGAATATCGTGATTTTAATATTGACCAAAATAATCGTGATAATGATTTTTTGAGCAGCCCTAGTTCAAAATGTATGTACTGTATTTCTTGTTTTGCTTAACCACTCCACCATTGTTCAAAACACTGCACACGTCACTACAAAACAATCCAGACGACATCCCAAGATCAGCGAGAAGAAGAAACACTTCACACTCCTCTAACCTTTGCCTTTCTTCTTTTTACTTTTCTTTCTCTTCTTGCCCTTCTCTCGCTCCTCCTCTTTCTCCTTCTCTTTCTTTCCCTCTTTTTCCCCCTTCTTCTTCTTCTTCTCGGCCTTTTTCTTCTTTTTCTTCGTCTTGGACACCTCTACCTCCACCTCCTCCTCCTCCTCTTCTTCATCCTTCGCCTCATCCTCCTCTCCCTTGGACATCTTCCTCTCGCTCTCCTCCGCGGCGCACTCCTCCTCTCCCTCCTTCTCGCTCTCTTGCGGTTGACCCTCGGACACTTTATCGTCCTGCAGCAGCACGCTCTCCGTCTCCTCCGCCTCGCCTTCTCTCTCTCCTCCTTCTTGCATCTTCTGCTTTTGGGCTTCCATCCGCTTGGCTTGGCGTTCCTTCCTCTTCTGCTCCCTCTTCTCCTCCAGCTCTTGTTTTTCTTTTTTCTTCCTCTCTTCCTCCGCCAGCTCGGCTTCCGTGCGCTTCACCCGCCAACACCCGTCCCTCCACTCCCATTCCAGCTGACTGGGAGCGTAGTCGTTGTCCCCCCCTCGCCGCCTTGGCTCTCCGGTTCGTTGTTCCCGCCGATTTGCCAGATGCTTTTGCTCCGAGCTTTCCCGTCGGAACCCGAGGCGCCGTCCTGCCCCGCGCTGCCCCCGGCGCCGTCCCCCTCTTCGACGTCCTGCACCTTTTTCACGATGGTGGTCACTCCCTCGGTGAGCTGGTCGCTGACGGCGTAGGTGGCATCGCTGACGCTGTTGGCGATGTCGTCCACGCGGCTGCTGACCGAGTCCAAGATGGAGGAGATGTTGACGGTGGGGAGATTGTTCTGGAAGGTCTTGAAGAAAGCCATAGCTCTTCCCGTCTCTCTCTGTTTTTGTCTTTCTCAAGGACGTGAGTTAGTTTGGGGCATCACAGCTCTGGGATGAGGTGAACTGTGTGTAGATGAAGCTGGTTAGTGGACACAAGTTAAAGCAAGAACATTGTACCTACTAATAGAAAGACATTGTGTACATAGAAATACACAGAAGTACATAGTGGACCTTTAAGATAACGGACAGGGTTGGGGAGTAACAGATGTACCAGAGCTACGTAATCAGAGTACAAATTATGAGTAACTGTATTCAGTTACAGTTACTGTTTAAGTGCATGGTAATTAGATTACAGTTACTTTGTAATTGAAATTTGAAATAAATGGATTACACGGAGGTGTTTTCCCGTTTTCACATTTTGGGCTATATCCCTTTTTTTTTTTTTTCAATAATTCCACTCATTGCTGGACACTAAGTCAGATCTAAAACCAGGTCTAAACCCAGTCTAAACTAGGTCTAAACCAGGTCTAAACCAGGAATAAACCAGTTCTAAACTAGGATTAAACCAGGACTAACAGGACTAAAACCAGGTTAAACAGAGGTCCAACCAGGTCTAAACCAGGTCTAAACCAGGTCTAAACCAAAACTAACCAGGACTAAACCAGGTCTAAACTATGTCAGGATTTAACAGGACTAAATCCTGCTGTGTGGACGTGTCTCCTCTTCTTCTATCAATAATATTTTTTATTTGGTTCAGTAAAATTTGGACTTTTTATTTTCTTTTAGTAGACAAAACTTCTTATGTGAAGATATCTGAGTCTTTGCTTCTCTACAGCAAACCAAGTAATCCAAAGTATTCAGATTACGTTACTCACTTTAAGTAATTTAATGGATTATGTTACTAACTACATTTTGGGGTGTGTAATCTGTAATCTGTAGGGGATTACATTTTAAAAGTCACCTTTCCAACACTGATAACGGAAGATATTTAGCTTTCCAAGTCTTACAAAAAAGATCTCACAAAAGTTCAGTTTTGGTTAAATATATTGTTGTGTTTGTAAATAACTGGATTAGATTAGGTCCATGTAACAATTCTTTTGAATTTCAATTAAGAATGAAAATAAAACAGGAAAATGGGTTATTATTTCATTATTCCGTTTTAATGTCAAATAAAATCCATAAAATCCAATATTTAATTTAAAGTTTACTTCAAATAACACCAATTAAAAACAGTCTTGGTGCCTATTTTAATTTCGATATTTTATTCTCTCTGGTTTATTTGCTCCAGAAGTTCTGCTGCAGTGTCAATCATGGATCTATAATAATTAAAAAATATATATATAGTTCCAGTGATATATATATATATAGTTCCAAATGATAAAAATTTGCTTGGAAGGACTGACATATTTTATTGAAATAGTTTCCTTTCATTTTGAAGTAATATTAAAGTATTTGGAAGAAAACAGCTAACAAATTATGCAAAATCATGCACCTTCTACTTGCTTGCACAATTTTCCCTCCGTTACCATGACCTTTCTTAATTAAAAATCTCATTACGGAATCTCATTAAGGATATGCAAGTGAGAACCACTAGTTATCGCTGTTTGTATTTATTGCCCAAAAAGTGCTGCATATTCTTCCCTCCGTTACGACATGAGTTTTTAAATTTTTTGTCAACAACTTGAAAAGAATATCACAGGTTTAACTTTACCCTGTTGCAGTGTTAGCTCTTCCTACATTCTGATACTTTACTTATTTCCATAGTCCCTCTAGTTTCTGAATAAGAGACATTTGAATGTAAAAAATCTGCCTGTTTCCCTCCGTTACCACTTGACCGGACCCATCTATTAATCAAATAACCAATAATCTGGTGGGGCTCTGGAACAACTGTACAGAAAACCTAAAATTGTGCACCACTTTCTTTCACTTCATAAAGAAGTTTAAATGTTTAACTCTGGACAGATACATAAATATGAGACTTAGTTTTGTGCTGTAAACTTTGTTGTTCTGTTACTGATTAGCTTGTTTCTTCCTGCTGTATTTATGAAGATGAACTGGTGTCAAGATGAAGTCTGACAAAGGAATAAAGGGTAGGCAGAATAAGCTTAACTTCAGCCTGCACCTTTTTCGTCTTGTATATGTAAATATGACTGTTTATTGAAATTAATGTCAAAATATACCTGTGACCGAAATAAATAAATAAATGAATGAATGAATAATCAGTTGGTTTCATGGGGGGTTTAGCTGATATTGTCTCCACCAAAGCTGAGACAAAACCTACGCCCTTGACCCCAGCCAATCATGAATCAGTGCTAGTGCAGCCTCTGCAGCACAGGGAGGGAATACTGGAGGTTCTGAGCTTTCACATGAGCCAATGGTCTGTCCAATGGGAAAAACAGTTGGTGTCATTTACACAGAGGTTTATGCACCGTTAGTCAGTGAGCACATCCAACATTCCCGATATTTAACGCAGGACTAAACCATTCTAACATGACCCGTCGTGTGTGTGGAAACATGAGCCGTGGAGTGTGTCATGTACCTGGTGTGTGTCATGTACCTGGTGTGTGTCATGTACCTGGTGTGTATGACTGAAGCCGGTGTGTGTATGTACCTGGCGTGTGTGTGTCATGTCAATGTACCTGGCGTGTCATGTACCTGGTCCTGGTGTGTGTACTGTAGTGTGTGTATGTACCTGTGTGTGTATGTACCTGGTGTGTGTCATGTACCTGGTGTGTGTATGTACCTGGTGTGTGTATGTACCTGGTGTGTGTATGTACCTGGTGTGTGTCATGTACCTGGGTGTATGTAACCTGGTGTGTGTATGTACCTGGTGTGTGTATGTATGTCCTGGTGTGTGTATGTACCTGGTGTGTGTCATGTACCTGGTGTGTGTCATGTACCTGGACCTGGTGTGTGTATGTTGGTGTGTGGTTGTGTGTATGGTGTGTGTATGTACCTGGTGTGTGTCATGTACCTGGTGTGTGTATGTACCTGGTGTGTGTCATGTACCTGGTGTGTGTCATGTACCTGGTGTGTGTATGTACCTGGTGTGTTATGTACCTGGTGTGTGTATGTACCTGGTGTGTGTCATGTACCTGGTGTGTGTCATGTACCTGGTGTGTGTCATGTACCTGGCGTGTGTCATGTAATGTACCTGGTGTGTGTGTACCCTGGTGGTATGTCCTGGGTGTGTGTCATGTACCTGGTGTGTGTCATGTACCTGGCGTGTGTCATGTACCTGGCGTGTGTATGTACCTGGCGTGTGTCATGTACCTGGTGTGTGTATGTACCTGGTGTGTGTATGTACCTGGTGTGTGTCATGTACCTGGTGTGTGTCATGTACCTGGTGTGTGTATGTACCTGGTGTGTGTCATGTACCTGGTGTGTGTCACCTGGTGTGTGTATGTGTATGTACCTGTGTGTGTATGTACCTGGTCTGGTGTGTGTATTATGTACCTGGTGTGTATGTACTGGTGTGTGTCATGTACCTGGGTGTGTATTACCTGGTGTGTTCATGTACCTGGTGTGTGTATGTTGTACCTGGGTGTGTGTATGTACCTGGTGGTGTGTACCTGGTGTGTGTCATGTACCTGGTGTGTGTCATGTACCTGGTGTGTGTCATGTACCTGGTGTGTGTATGTACCTGGTGTGTGTCATGTACCTGGTGTGTGTCATGTACCTGGTGTGTGTCATGTACCTGGTGTGTGTATGTACCTGGTGTGTGTATGTACCTGGTGTGTGTATGGGTGTGTGTCATGTACCTGGTGTGTGTATGTACCTGGTGTGTGCAGGCTCTCGTCACACTGGTGCAGCGGGGGCGTCAGGCTGCCGCTGTCGCTCGGACTCTCCACGCACAGTTTGTTGCTGAGGTAAAGAAAGAACAGAGCCATGAGGGCCATGAAGGCAGCGATGGAGGACAGGACGCCCAGCAGCTCGGGGGACACTGAGGACACAGAGAGGACAGACAGAAAGAGACAGAGAGAAAAAGACAGAGAGAAAAAGACAGAGAGAAAGACAGAGAGAAAGACAGAGGACAGGACAGAGTGAGAGTGAGTGAGACACGTATGATGGACACTATGGGACAGTCATAAAACACAGAAAATAGTGGACTTCTGCTCATCTGTCCTCCCTTTCCTGTCCTACACACTCCTCTCTCCTCATCCTCCTACACTCCTCTCCCTCATCACTCCTCCTCCTCCTACTGTCCTCACTCTCCTCTCTGTCCTACACTCCTCCCTCTCCTCATCTCCCCTCCTCCTCTCCTCATCCTCCTCCTTCATCATCTCCTACACTCTCACTCCTCTCATCATCCCTCCTCATCCTCCCTCATCTCTCCCTCCTCCTCCTCTCCCTCATCACTCCTCTCCCTCCCTCTCCATCTCATCACTCTGTCTACACTTTCCCCTCATCACTCTGGCCTACACTCCTCCTCTCCTCATCACTCTGTCCTACACTCCTCCTCTCCTCATCCCTTGGTCCTACACTCCTCCTCTCTCNGGGACACTGAGGACACAGAGAGGACAGACAGAAAGAGACAGAGAAAAAAGACAGAGAGAAAAAGACAGAGAGAAAAAGACAGAGAGAAAGACAGAGGACAGGACAGAGTGAGAGTGAGTGAGACACGTATGATGGACACTATGGGACAGTCATAAAACACAGAAAATAGTGGACTTCTGCTCATCTGTCTGTCCTACACTCTACCTTTCCTCATCCTCCGTCCTACACTCCTCCTTCTCATCTGTCTGTCCTCACCCTCGGTCCTACACTCCTCCTCTCCTCATCACTCTCTCCTCCTCTCCTCATCCTCTGTCCTACACTCCTCCTCTCCTCATCCCTCTGTCCTACACTCCTCCTCTCCTCATCCCTCTGTCCTACACTCCTCCTCTCCTCATCCTCTGTCCTACACTCTCCTCTCCTCTCACCTCTCCTCATCTCCTCATCCCTCTGTCCTACACTCCTCCTCTCTCCTCATCACTCTGTCCTACACTCCTCCTCTCCTCATCATCCTCTGTCCTACACTCCTCCTCTCCTCATCTCCTTC